TTCACATGGTCACTTTATTCATAGAAATCTACTTCTCCTGAAAGATAGAAGACATTCACAAAGTTGCTGATGTAGGGATCACTGAATCATATATATCATCCTGTCATAAGGAAAGCAGGATAAAGTAAGCTTAAAACCACCATATGTATTACCTTCTCCTTCCATTTATAGCTTATCGTGTAAGACTAGAAGCTCAGAACTTTGGGTTTGAAAATGCCTCTATAAGACATCACAAGGATGATGACGTCAATATTGCACTTTCATTTAATAACATGTGAATTAACTGTAAACATTAAATCTGTCATCTTGTCACTTTTATAGTGCACTATTTAGGCACCAGAGAAGGGCACATGGGAATTAAGGAGTTAAATGTCCAAAAGTTCTAATCATAAAATGATTTTTTTACCCCTTTTTCTTCGACTGGAGAGTAAAGGACAAACAAAAGACAAAACATGTTTTTCATCACAGTGTTTAAGTCAGTGGCTATGGTTATATAGTTTAACTTAATAGCTTGGAGTTAACAAAAATAGTAGCAATGTTTACATTACATCATCTGTGGTAACATCAGGATAAATTACAGATTTATTAGAAGACATAAAGTCCACAAAATAAATACACAGTAACTTTAAGTCAAATGGAAAAGAGGGCCTGTTCTTTTAGTATCCACCCTAGACTTCAATCACCCCGTCTTTCTGGTGTAAAACATCAATATCTTTTAATCATCTTATGGCAATAAGCCCTGCAATTCCTCTCCTTACTTCTAACTGCCTGCCTGTATATATTTTCCACAATCACCAATATGATTTTTGCAAGTGAGAAAATCTGATCCTTTTAATCCCATGTCAAAGGTATCATATGACTAACTATTTCTGCCCTTAGGAAGAAGTCCAGCCTCTGAAATGTCCTTAAAAGTCCTCCATGGTTTGGCTGAGGTACCTATTGCCTGTTTGAAACTAAATAAAAAAAAATAAGGGCTTAGAATAGGCATGCTTACACATAAATGATAAATATATGATTCTCTGTGGATATTTATGAACAAAGATCCTTGTTATCTGATAGCCTAAGTTTTATAGCAAATATGAATTAAACCAAATTAGCTTACTTAAATTAATACTCAAAACACTATAGCTATCTGTACATTCTCTTCATTTAGCTCCTAATGATTAGAAACAACTAAAGGTTATAAGAAGACAATTCATAATTTCTTAGAGATTTTTTTTGGTGATGAAACATTTGAGGTGTTACATTTGTCTTGATGTGCACTGTAAATATTCCATAAGGAATCATGCAAGTAGTATTCAGGGCAGAAAGAAGTAGAATTACAGATTACTATGCCTAGTAAAATTTCCAAGACTCAAATTTGTAGATCAAAGACTCAAATTTGTAGATCAGCACCTGACATATAATGAATGTACCTAATGGGGAAATATATCATTTTTTCTGGAGACCTAACCATAGCCTTAAGTTGCCCAAATTATTCTTGTAACTATATTTTTCTCTATGTAGAAATCATAAATGATTCAGCATTCATTTACTAAATGCTCTTACATGCCAAATAGTTCCCTAGGTGCTAGAGATTCCCAAGTAGAACAAAGCAGATAAGAGCTTGTTCCCATAGGGCTTAGATTCAAGAAAGACTGGAGAGAGACAATGAATAACTGTTTGATTTTACTATGCACAGAACACTTTTAAATGGTTATAAATATTATGAAGAAAATAAGACAGTGTTGTGATATGTGACTAACAATTAGAGTGAGGGGGCACAGCTAAAACTGGGGGTGATAATCTCAGAGCAGAAACAAAATGGTAAGAAAGATCCTGGGCTGCCAAAATTCAAAGATCTCCAGGCAGTAGGTGGAGCAAGTACAATGCCTCAACCAGGAGTGACACCTCTGTGTCCAAGAAGATATGGAGGTCAGTGGAGAAGGGAGAAATCACTTAATGGAGATGAGTTTGGCCAGGTCACACAGGGCTTGCAGGCCATGAGAAGGAACTTAGACATTACTCCATGGGACCTCTTTCTAAGAGGAGACTCTCATGATTTGAGTATGTCTGAAAAGACCTCTCTGAGTGTGCATACAGTGGACTGCAGGAGACCAAGACTGGAACTGCAGTAGGACCGGAGAGGAATGTAGAAATGTAAAGACCTTAGCACATTTTAAGTATGTGAACTGTGCCCACTGTACTGTATCTAATTGTATATTTGTTGAATTAATGAATTAATAGCAAAATGGTTACAAACATTAAATCTAGCAGTATATTAAAATTCTTGGCTACATATTTTGTACACAAAACTGCAATAAAATATTAAAGTATTAAAATTCTTCAAATTTGCAGGAAGGTTTAACATTTCCAGCTACATGCTTTTTTTCATTACAAATAAATTAAGCAATTTGCAAATAAATCCAAACTCAAACAACAAAATACTAAAATGTAACTATTCCCTAAATATCTGACATTTCATAATGTTAATTCTACAGTTTCTTTGTGTACTTACGGTTGGACTAAGATAAATAATAGAAGTTTTGCAAGTAAGAATTGTCCATTAGTTAGGAAACAGAGAGAGGGTTGTCAAGGGGAGAGGAGAGAAGGGAGGGGAGGGGAGAGGAAGGAAGGAAGAGAGGAAGGGAAGAAGGGAGGGAGGGAGGGGAAGACACCAAATATGTTTCTAAACAGGCATACAATGTGTCTTCTATACATAGGCTATTTACACTGGAATGTCCAATTATTTCTATGGTTTACTGAAATTGGCCCATACCACCTTTTGAGAGCCAACTGTTGTTATGTTTTCAGGAACTTTATGAGCAATTGTTAAAAACACCATTATTAAAAGTCAAATTAAATAAACTTATTAAATTAAAAAACTTAAAACAAAGGTAGTAAATATTCAAAATCCATCGCCTCCTAATTATTTTACTACTCTTCAATATCACCAGTGCTCTTGAAGTTACGCCTCTCACATCTGCAGAGGGTAGTACTTTACACTTGGTGGGTACTGAATAAAATCATGTGGGAAGCTTGCAATCAGACATGGTGAGAATATTTACACCACAGATGTAAACAAAGGGCTTTCCACCATCCCCAGAAAGTCTGTTATTGAGCAATTACCAACATATCACTTTTATAAACATGTTGACATTGCTGGCTTGGCTATAGCATTACCAGTTACAGACTGTGAGTCTAAATCCCAGAAACTACATTCAGTTTAAACTGAGGAATGAACGCCAGATTAAAAAACAAAAAAGTAAAGGTGCTGGCTATCACAGTTGAGAATATAGAAAAAGCTTCAAAAACAAAATGATACCATTTTCTTTTATCAAATTAATAATGACTGAAGAGAAAGACAATATTGTTGGAGTATTAAGTGAGAACAACACACATTAAATGACAGTAGGAATGTAAACAGATAAATTTTTCAAAGAACTGCAAAACAGAAGTAAATTGTTTAGTTTCATTATTTAAATTTAACCTGTGGAAAGATCGGTTTACAAACATGCTCTCAAAAACTGATCACTTATGATGGAAAAAACTGAATGGAGTAGAAGTGCTTTAGAGAATATTATGTGTAATTTTAAATAAAATTTTCAAAACCTTGAATGAGAAACAGAATATTTGCATAACAATTAATGAAAGTTGGATATGGCATTTAATAAAGTTAAAACATAAAATTATATATGTACATAGAGTAACTAGAAATAAATTCAATTAAATATTAACTATAATTATTACAGAGTACTTAGAATATGAATGATTATTTTCTGTTACTTTTAGATTTCTCTAATTTCTAAATATTCAAAAAAGGCAAAATACTAATGTTTAAAATTAAAATGAAAAATTTAAATTCACTACTCAATAAATTTTTGATTTGAAAAAAGTATGCATGTGTTATAGTAAATTGCATGAAAATGAGGCAAATAGGAAGATAGTATTTAAATTATTAAATTGTCTGATATTGTGTTAAGGATATGTTATTGGTTTAATATGTAACATATCATCTATTTAGCTATACATCTGACTTAGCATTATCCAGTATTTCATATTGTCTCATAATATTCTCAAATTAACATTAGTTTTAATTCAGTACAATGAAACCATGCAGATAAGAAAAAAACTCAACTGTTAAACAAATCGTAAGAGTTCTGTAGATCAAAAAAGAGAAAAAAAACTGTCTCAAATATACATTCAAAATTAACCAATGATGTGAGAAAAAGAGTTTGCAGAAAAGAAATAGGCTAACACAAAAGGAGACAGAAATCAAGGTAAAGGATCTGTTTTATTATCATATCAACATGTGCAGACAAGAAAAAGGAGTTGTGCAGAGTATTAAAAATCATTCCATAGATTTCCATTTGATATGAGAGAAGTTTGGATCTTATTAAATTATGGTCTAGATTTAACCACTTTAATATCTTATATTTTAAATATACTTTTATATTTAAAAATATTTGGTTTGAAAACACGAATAGAATCTATGTAAGGTACAAAATATAATTGTAGTGGCTGGGGTTGTGGCACAGTGGTAGAGTAGTGTTCACCAAGCATGAGTGAGGCACTGGGTTCCATCCTCAGCACCACATAAAAAAATAAGTAAAAAAAAAAAAGTATTGTGTCCATCTACAACTAAAAATAAAAAGAAAAAGGAAAACATGATTGCATTCACATACTTAGTATATAGTGATTATAACAATCAAATTAACACATCTATTACCATCTGTGGTATATGTTAGATCCCCAGAACTTGTTCATTCTATAACTGAAAGTTTTTAACTATGCTTTGACACCTAGATAATAATCAACAAGCTTGTGGTATATTGTAACTTTACTTTTGTGACACATAAGGAAAAAAAATATCAAGTTTCAGGTTTCTTTGATAATTCAAAACTACTTAGGGAAATGTTGATATTGGTATGAATATCAGTTCTACCTTTACTCTTGGGAAACCATATGGCATAGAAACTTACAAGTATTTAACTGAAATTTGTCTGAAATGACTGGGTTACCTGAAATTTTGACTTGAGACACCACTCCATCTCCTCCATCACTGTGTGCTCGAACCTCTACAACATACTCTCCATCTCTGGGGATGGGAACCTCTATGGAGTGTTTATGAGTTGAATACAGCTTTCCATCATGCTGTCCATCAGGTCTATAGAGTACCTGATAAAGTCCAAAGACATTAATACTTAATAAATTCAAACTAATAAGCAAATGCCCTAATACTAAAATCAGAATGAAAGTACTTACCCTTGCATTTAATAAAAACAAACAAACAAACAAAAAACACTTTAACACATTCACACATGGGAAAATTTAATGTATTTTCAATTCACAGAACTTGATTTCTGCTTCTGGGGGAAGATTATACAAGAAGTTTGCCATCAGAATCTGAATTTTATTTTTTGATATGATAGAAAACAAAGAGATTAGAATTATATGTCTTTTTAAGGGAAAAAACATAAAATGAAAGTTCTTTCAATATATTGAAATAGTCTAAACTTATTCTCTCTTTAACTTTTTTTCACACTACTCCTAAAATTTCGTATTTGATAAATATGAAATATATGATAACATGCGATATAGAGAATATATAGTAACAATCTTTTCTCTTTTACTTTGCTGTGTGTTTAGCACCAATAACATAAACATTGTCAAACAAAACTGAATTCATTATGTCTTTCCTCTTTAAGCTATAATTATTCTAACAATTATATTCTTTAAAAAACAGTTATTTTATGTATCTTGATCACTTAATATAGCATTTCCCTAAAATTCATTGAAGATGTTTTCTCATTTCAAAAAATTTCAGACTATGCCATCTAATTTTGCTATACAGGTAAAATAAGAAAGCTGAATGGAATTCACTGAAATGGCAAAAATTACACACATCAATCAACACCTGTAAGAATGAAACCTGTATGAGGAACATTTTAGTACTCTTGTATACCTTATATCCAGTCACTGTAGATTCATTTGATAGTGCAACGACATGATCCCAGGTGATTATGTAGCGTGAACCAGACCTTACTGAACTGATGATTCTTGGTGGCTGGCTAGGAGCTGTGGAAAGCAGCAATAGGTAATCAGTGGTCACCATATCCAAACTCAGGTCTGCAATCTCATTGCATCAGGAAGTATACTACTGATGATAGCAATGGTGACAACACTACCACCACCCAATTTGGAAGAGTGCTTCCTATAGTCCCAAAAAGGCACTAGGCTAAGCACTTGATAGCCATGATTTCTTTTAGTGCACTTAGTGGGCTTGTAAGGTAGAGAATATATCTATGTTGTATTCTTTTCTCTCACACTCCACTTGGGTTTCTTTCTACCACCACTTTTTTTGCAACTGCAATTTTCAAGGTCACCAATCACCTCAGGTAGGCCAAATCTAATGTCGCTGTTCTATTCTTTTCAAACTTAACATCCTTGGAATATTTTACAGAGCTGTACCACTTTTCTTTTTCTTGAATCTCTTGTTCTTTTCTTAAATGCATGGTATCTTACCTTGATATTCTTTCTACCTTGGTCAGAATTCTTTCTCATTAATTTTCATGACCTAGATCCAGGTCTTCTGCTCAACTTCTAAATGTTGTCATGACTCAGAACTTGATCCTGCACATCCTTCTCTCCTCTGTGTCTAAATCTTTCCAAAGTACCAAAATCAAGTCAATGGTTTTAAATACAATTCTAATTATAGCCCTCTATTCTCTCTTGGACTTCTAGACATGTGTGCAAAGACTTCTTGAGTGTAATGTAACCAAGATGGAACACTTGCTGTGTACTTCCAAACCTGCCTCTTGTAAGTCATTCCCATTCTTTTTTTTTTTTGAATGACACAACCAAATTCCCAATTTGTGAAGCAAAAATTTATTCAGATCAGCTATATCACCCATGGCAACTCAAATTTACAGTTAGAAGTCAACTATACCTACAGAAAATATACCACTTTTGTCTTCATTACCACTCCATGCTAGCCAACCGCAATCCTCCTCAACTATTGAAATGGCCTTCTGATTGGCTTCTCTATTTTCTCTTAACACTAATCATTTTCTACCCAAAAACCAGAACGATATTTTTTTAATTACTCTCTGCCTTAAAATCTTGCAATGTATTCATACAACATTCTTCCTATGGTCTGTAAGATACTCCATAGTTTGACTCTAGGGTACTTCCTTCTCCTCACTTCATAACCTATGCCCTGGCTCTATTGGTCTTTCTTCAGCTAAAAAAATTAAATATTTATCAGAGATTTTATTTGATTGTTTGTCTGTTTCCTTCAAGGTCTGGCTTAGTTAGTCTCTTCTGTATTCTTACCACTTAGAATAGTGCTGGGTACATAGTCTATTTCTGATGAATGAATTAATGGAAACAACAACAAAGGAATGTGTGCTTCTTTTACAATTTAGAAAACTGAGGTTTAAGGAGGTCAGACAATTTTTCTTTTATCACACATTTACTAAGAGGCAGACTATATCTTAAACTCACGTCTGACACCAAAGTCTGTCTCTTACCACTATATTCCATAATCTCATTAGGAGCTTCTCTGTCTCCAAGAGCATTTTATAAATTTTCAAACCCTGGTACTAATCATACCTAGGCATTCTTGCAAAAGTCCCTAGAGTCCTGTGTGTGAATTCTTCTTTTTCATATATTCAACCTGGGTTCAGGAAGAGAGATATCAGGGTAAATCTGAAGAGACTGGAATGACCAGAGACTCTGAGGAGATTAGGTGGTCTTGATATATGAACAATGGAAACATACAGTAATATGAGAGTAAAAGAAATGCTTCTGAGATTTAACTTGTATTTGCTTTGTGTAGTGATGGTTTATATATCAAGCATAGAAAAATGAGCAGAATTTTAATTTTCTGATGCTGTGAATACATTTCTCTAAAAAATTTAAATTAATAAATACAGAATGCAAGAGGGAGAACTTCCAAATTCATTCTACGAGGCCAACATCACCCTGATTCCTAAACCAGACAAAGACACTTCAAAGAAAGAAAACTACAGACCAATATCTCTAATGAACCTAGATGCAAAAATCCTCAATAAAATTCTGGC